ACCCGACCCCCCTCCCCTCCCCTCCCTGCACTGACCGGCCAGGCTCTGCGCTAGGAGGCCGCAGAGACTCCAAGTCAGCCATGGCCGTCCACTCGTTGAGGCAGCTCTGGTCAGAGCTCAGTCTGTCCTGGTAGTGGCTGGCCCAGGTGAGGGCACTGCCCCCTGGCACAAGACCACTGCTGAGAGCCGCCTCGCAGGCTTCGTGCAATACCTGGAGTGTGGCCCTGGGAAAGAGTGAAGGCTGGGTCACATGGTCTTCCCTGCTGCCCCTACCCAGCCCCTGCAGCCATCTCCGAGAAGAGGAGACTGGCCTGAGGCTGGGCCACCCTAGCCCTTACCACATGGTCTGGATGGAGATTGGCTTGAAGATTCGGCTCTGCCCACCAGACGTCACACTGAAGCCCCTGCAGGAGACCAGGTAGGGGTGGAACCCAACTCTCAGCTCTGGGACAGAGCCCCCAAGAGGCCCACCCACTAGGCACCCTGTGAGGCTGACCCTCAGAATATGTACACACCATTGAGTTTCAAAATAAGCCCCGTTTGCCAGATATGGGGCAGCTGAGGCCCAGAGAAGTTAGGTGACTTGCCCAGGATCTCACAACAAATCTGAGGCAAAGCTGAGCAGGCCGGGGCCCCAGACGCCCGGCCTGGACTTCTTTACTGCTCCCCAGTGCCCAAATGCCCCATCATATACATCCCCTTGGTTATTCCACCCTCCAGGCCCCTCCTGTCCCCTCCTTCTCCAGTTGCCACCTCTTACCCATCTCCATCTAGGTACACCTGGGTGTCACTCCAGAGAGGCAAGACCAGGCCCAGGGTGCAGCTGGGGGAGCTGGCAGGGGACAGAGGGAAAGCCATTGACCCCCGGCACCTGACTTCCTTGCCCCACTCCTTTCCTCTCCCTGCTCCCACCTGCTATCCGGGAAGTCCACCCCCAGAAGGACTGTCTCATCCTGGCTCAGATGTTCTCTTGTGGAAACTACCAGCAGGTAGCGGAGCCGGGGGGGCCGTGCTGCCTCCAGCTGGGCTGCCTGAGGAAGATGGGGAGGGAGAAGCCCACGGTCACAGTGGCCCAGAGGACCCTGCTCCCCCATCCCCACCTGACACACACCCAGGCCCAGACCAGACCTGCCACCTGCTCCCTCCATGCCCATCCCCCTCTTCCCAGATACCAGATCAGTGGTTACAATCCAGTGGTTCCCAACGATTGGATTTCGTGATCCAACAAAATGTGTTTTTTTTGTGTGTGTGAGAAAGATTAGCCCTGAGTTAACATCTGTTGCCAATCCTCCTCTTTTTGCTGAGGAAGATTGGCCCTGGGCTAACGTCTGTGCCCATCTTCCCCTACTTTATATGGGACGCTGCCACAGCATGGCTTGATTAGTGGTGCGTTGATCTGTGCCCAGGATCTGAACCTGTAAACCCCAGGCCGTCGAAGCTGAGCACGTGAACTGCTCAGCTACCGGGACAGACCCCAACAAAATGTTTAAAAAGATCTTTCTTAAAGGGGGATGTGTAGGGCCGGCCCCGTGGCTTGGTGGTTAAGTGAGCGCGCTCCACTGCTGGCGACCCGGGTTCGGATCCCAGGCTTGCACCGACGCGCTGCTTCTCTGGCCATGCTGAGGCCGCGTCCCACATACAGCAACTAGAAGGATGTGCAGCTGTGACACACAACTATCTACTGGGGCTTTGGGGGGAAAAATAAATAAATAAAATCTTTAAAAAAAAAAAAAAAAGGGGGATGTGTATGGAAAAAAGGAGAGAATGGGCCTGACACAGATTGCCAATTTTTTATTTCTGCCTAGGAAGGAGGTTTAAAAAAAGCCTTTTCACTTGCCATTACCATCACTTGATTCAAGAATTGTTTCTCATCAAAGAAATATTAAGGACACAATCTCACAATAAAGGATGGTGCTTCCACGGAATAAATTCAGCTTTACAAAAGACTGCCTGCATCTTGTGTTTCCCATTTGCTGCAGACAGTGAGACGTCCCCCAGGCATCTGGAAACTGGTCCTCCCGCGCCCACCTGTGTCCCATCCCCCCATGGGCCCCTCCAGCACACCAGTCCCTGGTGGGTGCTCAGCAGGCCCCCCTGAACGCCGGTCCATTTATGGACAACTCAGGAAGGTCTCGCGCTGGTTGCACAGAAGCCCGCCTCTGTAATTCCCAGCTCCGGGACCTAGACCTAATTTGGCCCTCCGGGCTCAAGCAGGACAAACCTCCCAGTCCTTCCCAGCCCTCCGGAGACCTGAAGACATGACCTCACCCTGCTCAAACAGCTCTGGCTGAAACAGCAGGGTTGTTGGGGTTTGGGTAACCCCTACACTCCCCAGGGTGCCCCTGCCCTCACACCGCTGCTCCCCAACAGACACAGGCCCTGGCTCCATTGCGCCCTCCACTCCCTGCCCTGGGTGGACAGCCCCTCACCAGGCGGATGTCGTCCTGCGGCCTCAGCAGCTCCACCATGAGGTGCAGGTGCTGGCTCTGCTCCTGCTTCCGGGGACTCTGGGGCCCATGCCCATCGTCTGTCTGATCCGCGCAGGGCTGCCCTTCTCCCAGGGGTTCCTCCACCGGCTCAGGGCTGGCCTCAGCTGCATCTCCATTGTCCCCTCCGTCCTGCAGTCCCAGGACAGCCCCACGGAGCACTGCAAAGCTCTGCCTGGCAGGGTGGTGGGGAAATCATATGGCCCGTCGTGCCCCTTAGGACAGGGGTGTGTCAGAATCACCTGGTGGGCTTGTTAAAACAGGTGTTGGGCCCCATCCCCAGAGAGTCAGTCGGTCTGGAGTGGAGGCCTGAGAGTGTGCATTTCTAGCCAGTTCCCAGGAGATGCTGCCACCACACTTTGAGAACCACTGCCTCGGAGGCTCTCATGGAAGCCCCCGGCCCACCTATCCTTGTTTGAGGGGGCGGGAGGCTGTTCCGTTTCCCTTCCCACCTGCCTAACTCAGGAGATGCTGTAAACTTGGTGGGGACCCAGGAGTCCTCAGGCCCTGTCGTCCCATAGTGCCCTTTGGCTTGTGACCACTGGCCTGAGCCAGGGTCCAGGATAGTGGGTGAAGGAGCCCCAACTGACTAGGGGGAAGATGAAAGCCAAGGCAGCCAGGCCAGTGCTGCGAGCCGGCCATGCCCACCAGCTATGCCCACTGGCGACCCTGCACCACATATTCAGCAGTTGGCTTTGGCAAGTCCTCCAGGATGGCAGTGGCCAGGCCTGGCGGCTGGGTGGGGGTGTCTGTGTTGGGGGCGGGGTGCTCACCTTCGCTGGAGCTGGCTTCTCCGCTTGGATGCCTGGTCCTGCTGAGAAAGCAGCCCCCAGGGCAGAATGAGGGGTAAGGACTCTCCTCTCCCCTCTCAGGGCTGCTGGGGTGGGGGGGTGTGGAATCGCCCCCCAGTGGGGAATAGAAGCAGAAAAGGTATCAATCCCCCTCCCACCCTAGTCCACTCCCCACCTGGAGTTATGCCCAGGCCCAGGTCCAGGTCGGGGTAAGGGTGGGTGGGGTGCTGGAGCTGTCTGAGGGGTAGGCCCAGATCCCGGCCGGGAAGGGGGTAGGGCTTCCTCAGGCTGGGCTGGCCCTCAGGGCTCCGGCTCTTGCCCTAGTCTGAGTTCCTGGGAGCCTCAAGACCTGCCCCCCATCCCCTCCAGCCTGAGACTTGGGGTCCCCCTCTGCACACCCCCAGGCTTGAAGGGAGGCTGCCCTTGGGCAGGACCCACTTCCCCAGGCCCAGTTGGCAGCCAACTGCGTGGGCAGGACCACAGCAAAGCCAGACTCACCGTGGGCCCCACAGGCGTGGAGTGGCCGCTGGCCGGTGGCGAGCGGCTCACTGTGACCAGGGCCATGGGGCCAGGCCGGGGGCACCTGGGCTGGCACCGAGCACAGCCTCCTCCCACAGCCCCACAGACAGTCCCTGCCCCGCAGGACCAGGAAGGAGAGAGCGAGCCACCAGGGCCTGGCACCTCCTCGGGGGTGGCCCTTAAAGGGCCAGACGCCCGTCCAGCCCGGCCGGCGGAGCCGGCACCGAGCGGCCGCCGCCCCTCCCCTCGCGTCTCCTCCGGTTTGGCCTGCCTCGCCTCCGCCCCGCAAACACGTTGGGGGCGGGACCCGGGCGGGGCGCAGGTGCGGAGTCCCGCGACCAGGAGGGAAGTGGCCAGAGGTCCGGCAGCTTGCTGCCTTCGTTCCGGGCTTCGGAGCCTCTTCCCGGGAAGCGCCCCTGCCCCTTTCCTCCCTGCTCCGCCCAGTTAGGTCACCTGAGCTCCGCTTTGGGCCCCAACTGTCGTTCCCCAGCAGAGTTGGGACCTAGGGAGGCAGGACTGGGGAGACAGGTCTTGGAGAGGGTCAGACACATCAGACACACGGCGGCGGGGGAGGGGGGACACCTCAAACTTATTTCTCCATGCCGGTTGGCCCTCTGGCTTCCAATGCTCTGCGTGGGTCACTGGGAGACCCACAAAGCTTCAGGAGAGTCAGGGGGAATTGAGAACCAACTCATGAGGCTCCCAGGGGATCCTCAGGGGCGCCTTGGAGTGAGCAGGGCAGGGCAGGGCTGAGCAGTTCAGAGCCACGGCAGAGGAAAGAGACTTGGGCAAAGTCACTCTGATGCCAGAGAACATGCCAGAGTCAGGACAGGGACTATGCCTGGGGTGCAGGGGGCTCTTGCTGTGAGTAGTCTGGAGGCCCAGCCTTTCCCCCTTCCCCACAGGAGCATGGGTGGGTGCCAGGAAAGCCAGACTGAGGGGCAGGAGGAACCTGGGTCTCCAGTAGGTGGGACAGGGCTGAGGAGAATTGACATGTATGGAGCACCTGCTCTGTGAGGTCCCTTGACACATGTTGGCTCATTTGACCCTCCCAACAACCCCATCTGGGGGGGGGTCTCATTTTACAGCTGAGGAAACTGAGGCTCAGAGAGGCTAAGGGGTCCACAGCCAGGATTTGAACCCAGGTCTGAGGCCATCGCCCACGGTGTCTCTCCTCAGTGCCCCCCATTGAGCAGAGCAAGCCTGCTGCTGAAGGTCTTTATTTCCATCTTGGTCTCCAACGCAAGCCCACCCCCAGGGCTCCAGGCCCCAAGCTCAGCAGCAGACAGTTTATAAATAAATAAGTTACAAAAGCGGGAGGGGGCACGGCCAGACAGCCCTGCTGGGGGCCGGGGCTCAGTGCTCAGTGCTCTGTGAGTGACAGCTGCAGAATCCGCTGTAAGTCCTCCTCCTCCTGCTGCCCCCGCCGCTCCCGCTCCTCCTGCTCCCGCGAGGACAACTCCAGGGCCAGGCGAAGCTGCTCCTCAAAACTTGGGGGGGCCAGGGCCGGGGACGTCCTATGAGGGGATCCCGGGCCCCGGGGCTCTGTGGACATCCGCAGGCTTTCCTGGAGGGCCCTTCCAGGCAGGTGTGAGAGGGGAGAGCAGACCGGTGAGCCCTAAGGCTGGGGGAGGAGGCCAAGGGCTGAGACATGGCTTGGAGGACAAGGGTGGCTGGGACCTGGGGCACCAGAGAGAAGAGACAAGGCCCTTGCCCCATCCCTCATGTCACCTTCGGTGATGGGCAGTGCTGCTGATGGGTGGCCTTGGAGAGGGCATGGGGTCCTGGGACCAGCACCACCCTGCTCCCCACCCCCACCAGCCAAGGACCCCCTGGCTGGCAGGGTTGCTGAGGCAGGTGGGCCCGAGACCTGGACCTGTAGGTCCTAGAGGGCCTCACCGCTCCAGCTGCAGCTGCTCCTCATAAGCCGTGACTTGGGGAAGAGGGTGGGCACCGGGCCGGGTGTTGGTCAGGGCTTCCCAGACGGTCACCTGCAGCAGCCAGAGCCCAGAGCTGTCACTTCTGCCACCCATGGCTGCAGAGGCCCGGGCCCGCCATGCCCGCGCCCCACCTGCTCTGCCTCCGTGCCCGCCTCGAGCAGGCTCTGCTGGATGGCGAAATGCAGCAGGTCATCGTCCTCGTCACGAAGGGGCTCGCTGCGCTCCGCGCCCAGCACGCTGTACCCCTCGGGCACCTCGAACACGGCAGGGTCCACCTCGCACGGGAACGGGCTCCCTGGGCGCGGCAGAGGGGCCGCGCTCAGCCCCCAGCACTCAGAGACCAGTGAGCCACATAGCCCCTCCCACCCGCAGTGGTACCTGAAGCTGTGACAGCAGAGTTGGGGGCCGGCACCCACACCGAGCTCAGGGGCTCGTCACACCCACACAGGTTGCCAAAGGTGATGCGGGCATTGAGCACGTGGAAAAGGGGGATCTCTGGAGGAGACAGCCAAGCGTGAGCTGCACCGGCATCTATCCCACTCCCCAGGAACTGCCTGAGGCCCTCCTGCTGCCCCGGCCCACGCTCTCACCAATCTTGACAGGGAAGCCGGGTGGGAGGCGCAGGGTGATGAAGTCTCGCAGCTTGGCAAAGTGAGCATTGCTGATGGCCATCAGGTCAATGATGGGCGTCACCTGGTCACCCAGGGAGAGTGGGTGCTCCTCGCTCAACCACAGTGTTGCCTTGAACCTGCCCAGTCGACCGCATGATGTGGGTCAAGGAACCCCTGGTGGCCCTTATGCCAAGGCCCACCCACTCTGACACCTGCCTTCATTCATGCCCCCACCTGGCCTGGGGTACCCTCCTCTCTGCTCAGCTGCCCCTGCCTGCCTCCTCCAGCAGCTGGTGTCCTTCTGGCCCTACGGCCCGAGCTGCCCCCAGACCCGGGGCCCAGGCTGGGGCCTGTGGTGGTTTGTGCCAGCTCAACTCGTCTGGATGAGGAGGGCAAGAGGGCTTCAATCTGGGCCTCGTCCACAGCCCTGTCCTCCTCCTCAGCCACAGCCAGCCAGAGCCTCACACTCTACTATCCTTTTGTGCTCTGCACAGCGCAGGGGGCAGGACTGCCAGGGTTCGAATCCCAGCTCCACCACCGGGTGGCTGAGAGTCCACATGAGGTCCCGAGGCAGTGCTGGGCTCATCGCAAGCTGTCGCAGCTCATCAGATCCTCATGGTGCCCTTGGGAGCAGGTGGCCAAGTGTGACTGTTCTCATTTTACTGAGGAGAAGACTAGACTCTTGGAGGGGAAGGCATTTCCTTGGGTCACAAAGCCAGGAGGTGGGAGAGCTGTGGGCCCTTCCCACCCTGCCATGAGCTGGCCCCAGCAGGTGCTTATTAAATTGAATAGAAAACCATACATGGGGGGTGCTGCCCATTCATTCATTCATTCATTCACCCATTCATTCACCAAGTGAGAGGACCAGTCCTCTGGGCCAAGCCCAAGCTGGGAGCCGAAGACCACGGATAAGACAGACCTGGCTCCTGTCCCCAAGGAGTGGAGTCTAGGAGGAAGCCGGCTGCATGAGCGGGGCCCCCACTCCAGTGGGCCCCATGTGACAGGAATCTGCAAGGGCTCAGGACCCTGAGGGAAGTCCCCAGCCAGCCCCCAGACTTCACCTCTGTACTTTGCTGGACATCTCAATGGGGCGGCCGATGTTCCTCGACTCCAGGCTGAAGTTGGGGTCGAAGTACTCTTCCGGGGAAATGGCTGTGGGGTTGGTGGGGCTGGCCGCCTGCTGCACGGGAGCCTGGGTGGGTCCCAGGACCGGGCTTAGCACTCAGGACAGTGCCTGCCTCGCCCGGCCCGGCCCCCAGCGCACCCCCAGCCCTGGCTCACCCCGTTGTGGGAGGAATGCTGCTGGGCCATCCCGAGGAAGGACTGGAATGGAGTCTTCCCCCCTAAGGAGGAGTGGGAGCCCATGAGGGGACTTGGGCCACTTCCCCCAGACTGTCCCCACCCACCCTCCATCGTGGGAGCCTCATGTCGGGTGGGAGATGAAGAAAGAGTATACGGGAATGGAGAGGCCTCCCAGCTTGTCCCGGCTACTGTGGCCCCCCCAGGCCAGGGTGACCCCACCACATGGTGTGACTGGGCAGCTGGCAGGCGCACCTGGGTTTACCTTTGCTCCTCGACTTGTCCTGATCAGAGAGGTGCTCCGTGCGTGTGCGTGTCACCAGCTCCACATTGGTGGCACTGTACACCTGGGGAGCAGGGGGGACACGGGAAGCTGGGGGCTCAGAGCCTGTTCACCACACTCAACCTCACCAGCACAGGACCCAAGTCCTCCTGTGCCCAGGGACAGACAAGATCTCGCTCCCCACAGTGGAGGAGGGGGCAGGGTCTGAACCCCAGGGAGTCACTACTGGGGGGAAAATGCTCCTCCTTTCATCTCAGAACCCTGGGTGGGGGCCCATGCTGTGGGTGATCCCCATGTGCTCGCCCAGGGCCCCACTGGGTTCCCACGGCTGCACAGGGCTTCTGGAGCCCACGGGCCACTGTCGCTCCCTCCACAGGGGTGGATGTAGAGAAGGCACGGAGCTCCTGGGCCTCGTCTCCTACCCCAGCCCCCACCACTAGCCTCTCCTGCCTTGGCCTCGTAGCCGCTAACGGTTTCCATCTTCTCAGACCGCCAGCCCCAGATACCACATTTGTTCCTGAAACAGACCAAACAGGAGCTCATGAGGACCTACACCCCCAACCCTGGCCAAAGCCTCCCCTTCCAAAGAACCCCTCCAGTTAGCCTTCCCACTGTGAATCACACGGGGCCTTGAAGAGGATGCCTGGACAGCTGGGGACAACTGAACAAGGACTGCAGGCAAGAAGGGACTGAGGAATTATTATTAATTGTGTTAGATGTGATAATGGTGTTGGGGCTGGCTGTTTTTAAACATCCTTCTCTGTTAGAGTCACATGCAGAAGCATTTACTGCTGAAATGATATGACATCTGGGATGTGCTTTAAGACAGTCCAGGGTAAAAGGAAAAAAAAAACGTGAGGAAAGATAGATTCAAGAAGATTGGTACAATGTTGATAAATGTTGAAGCTGGGTGACGAGCACATTATACTATTCTCTCTTCTTTCATATATGTTTGAAATTTTCCATAATAAAAAGTTAAAAGTATGTCTGACTCAATGATAATAGTTGGAGACTTCAATACCCCACTTTCAATAATGGATAGAACAAGTCTTCTGACAGAAGATCAACAAGAAAACAGAAGACTTGAACACACTATAAACTAGACTTAACAGACATCCTTAAAACACTCTACCCAACAATAACAGAGTACACATTCTTTTCAAGTGCACACAGAACATTCTTTAGGACAGACCATATGCTAGGCCATAAAAGAAACCTCAATAAAATTGAAAGGATAGAAATTATACAAAGGATGTTCGCCAATCACAGTGGAATGAAATTAGAAATCAATAAGAGAAAAAAGATTTGGGAAACTCACAAATATGTGGAAAGTAAACAACACACTCCTAAATAACCAATGGATCAAAGAATAAATCAAAAGGGAAATCAGAAAATACTGTGAGATGAATGGAAATGAAGACACAGCATATCAAAACTATGGGACACAGCTAAAGCAGTGCTTAGAGGGAAATTTATAGCTGTCAATAACTATATATTAAGAAAGAAGAAAGATCTCAAATCAAGAACCTAACCTTCCACATTAAGACACTGGGAAAAGAGCAAGCTAAACTCACAGCAAGCAGAAGCAAGGAAATAATAAATATCAGAGTGAAAATTAAGGAAGTAGCAAAGAAAAAAACAATAGAGAAAATCAATGAAACCAAAGCTGGTTCTTTGAAAAGATCAGCAAAACTGACAAACCTTTAGCTAGACTGATCAAGAAAAGAGAGAAGACTCAAATTACTAGAATCAGAAATGACAGAGGAGCATTACTACTGACATTACAGAAATAAAAAGGATTATACAGGAATACGATGAACAATTGTACCCCAACAAATTAGATAATTTAGATGAAATGGACAAATCCTAGGGACACATAACCCACCGAAACTAACTCAAGAAGAAATAAACAATCTGAATAGACCTGTAACAAGTGAAGAGACTGAATTAGTAATCAAAAAAATACCCACAACAAAAAGCCCAGGCCCAGGTGGCTTCACCAATGAATCCCACCAACGTTTAAAGAAGAATTAATACCAATTATTCACAAACTCTTGGGAAAATTGACAAGGAGGTAACACTGCCTAACTTATTCTATGAGGTATTGCCCAGATTCTAAAACCAGACAAAGACATCACAAGAAAACTACAGACCAATATCTTATGAACAGGGACACAAAATAATAGCCAACTGAATCTAGCAACACATGAAAAGAATTACACACCATGACCAAGTGGAATTTATCTCAGGAGTACAAGGTTGGTTCAACATCTGAAAGTCAATTGATGTCACACATATCAATAGAACAAAAATAAAAGTCACATGATCATATCAATAGATACAGAAAAATTTGACAAAATCCAAACCCTTTCATGATAACAACACTCAAGCTAGGAATAGAAGGGAACTTCCTCAACGTGATAAAAGGCACCCACAACTAACATCATACTTAAAGGTGAAAGACTTAGTGCTTTTCCCTTAAGGTCAGACACAAGACAAAGATGTCTGCTCTTGCCACTTCTATTCAACATTCTACTGGAGTTCTAGCCAGAGCAATTAGATAAGAAAAATAAATAAAAGGCATCCAGATTGGAAAGGAAGAAGTAAAACTACCTCTACTAACAGATGACATGATCTCACATATAAAAAATCATAAGGAATCCATTAAAAATCCATCAGAACTAAAAAATGAGTTTAGCAAGGTTGCAGGATATAAGATTAATATACAAAAATCAATTGTATTTTTATAGATTTGCAATGAACAATTAAAAAATGTAATTAAGAAAACAATTCCATTCATAATAGCATCAAAAAGAATAAAATACTTAGAATAAATTTAACAAGAGAAATGTAAAACTTATACTCCAAAAACTATAAAACATCATTAAAAGAAATTGAAGATCTAAATAAATGGAAAAATATCCCATGTTCATGGATCAAAAGACTTAACATTGTTTAGATGGCAATACTCCTCAAACTGATTTACAGATTTAATGCAAACTCTATCAGAATCCCACCTGACTTCTTTATGGAAACTGACAAGCTGAATCTAGAATTCATATGAAATTGCAAGGGAACCAGATACTCAAAATAATCCTGAGAAAGAACAAAGTAGGAAGACTCACACTTACCGATTTCAAAACTTACTGCAAAGCAACGGTGATTAAGACAGTATGGTACTGGCACAAAGAGAGCCATACAGATCAACGGAACAGAACTGATAGTCCAAAAATAAACCCATATATCTTTGGTCAACTGACTTTTCACAAGAGTGCCCAAACCATTCAATGGGAAAAGAATAGTCTTTTCAACAAACAGTGCGGAGACAACTGGATAGTCACGTGCAAAAGAATGAGGTTGGACCCTTACCTCCCACCATATACAAATATTAACTCAAAATGGATCAAAGACCTAAATGTAAGAGCTAAAACTATAAAACTTTCAGAAGAAAACATAAGGGAAAATCTTCATGACTTTGGATTTGGCAAAGTATTGTCAGATATGACACTTAAAGCATAAGCAACAACAGAAAAAACAGATAAAATGGACTTCATCAAAATTAAAAACTTTTGTGCTTTAAAGGACAACTTCAAGAAAGTGGTAAGACAGCCCACAGAATGGGAGAAAATATTTGCAAATCATATATCTGCTAAGGGACTTATATCTAGAATATATAAAGAACTCTTACAACTCAATAATAAAAAGATAACCCAGTTTTTTAAATGGGCAAAGGATCTGAATAGACATTTCTCCAAAGAAGACATACAAATGGACAATAAACACATGAAAAAATGCTCAACATCATTAGACATTATAAAAATGAGTATCAAAACCACAATGAGATACCACTTCACACTGCTAGGATGGTTAGAATCCAAAAATAAACGAATAAATGAACAATAAGTATTGGTGAGGATGTGGGGAAACAGGAACCCTCATACACTGCAGATAGGAATGTAAAATGTGGCAGCCCCTTTGGTGAACAGTTTGGCAGTTCTTCAAACAACTAAATATCCAGTTACCACACGACCCAGCAATTCCACTCCTAGGTGTATACCCAAGAGAGATGAAAACACATGTCCACACAAAACTTGTACACTCATGTTTACAGCGGCATTATTCTAATAGTCCAAAGGTGGAAACGACCCAAGTGTCCATCAGTGGACGAATAAGTAAACAAAATGTCTGTATGTTCATACAATGGATTTGGCCATAAAAATGAATAAAGTCGTTGCATGCTACAACTTGGATGAACCTTAAAAACAGTATGCTAAGTGAAAGAAGCCAGTCACAAAAGACCACATATTGTATGATTCCGTTCATATGAAAATCCAGAATAGGAAAATCTATAGAGACAGAAAGTAGATTAGTAGTTGCTTAGGGCTGGGGGAGGAGATGAGGGGACAAGGGATGGGGGGCCATCAGCTAAAGTGGACGGGGTTTCTTTTTGAGGTGATGAAAAATGTTCTAGAATTGACTGTGGTGATGGTTGCGTATCTGTGAATATACTACAGACCCCTGAATTGTATAAATAGGTGAACTGTATGGTACATAAAATTCTATCACAATAAATCTGTTTTTTTTTTAAAGTGTTCCAGAAGTCTGTTAGTGGAACTGGGGCATATGTTGTCAGAGAAATAACACTCTGGCTGCAAGGGTTGGGTTCCTAGGCTCCCCACAAAGGACTCTTTGGCCCAGACCCAGCCATACTATGGAGAAGCCAACATTGGTGCAAACAGCTGCCCTGATCCACAGCCTAAATCCTTGTTTTTATGGGAAAATGTGTGAGGTGAGAAGTCAAGAAACTGGAGACACTCTGACCTAGCTAGCCTCCTTCCCAGGAAGACAGACAGCTGCCAGTATAGACAGGCATGCAGGGGCTTGAAGGCTGTACCAGAGCCTGCCACCCGCAGGCGGTCTGGGTGAGACACTGGGCCTACACTGACTCCCTCCCCGATCTGAGCAGCCTCTTCGACTGACTCAGCCTCTCACTAGCCTGAACCAGGAGCCTCAAGGGCACCACCCACCGTGTGGCCAGGCCCCAACTGACCTCTCGAAGGCCACATTGCGAGTGTCCAGGTGGGTAGAGACGATAGGAGAGGTGAGGCGACTGGCCACATGCTCCTCGCTGGGCCGCATGGCGGCCAGCAGCGCTTCTGGCTCATGCAGGGCGAGCCCCAGTGTTTCCGTGTGTACCACCTGCCGGTCATGGTCCACTTCCATCACCAAGGCTCCTGCCTCTGCCAGGCGGTAGGGGTGTATTGGGGGCACAAATCAGTGCTGGGCCCCAGGCAGCAGGGAGAGGGCCATCATGGTCCCCTTAGCCATCTGCTGCTTAGTGGGTGCGGCCTCAGCCCCTGGGTTCCCCTCCACCCCCAACCTCTGTTTCCACATCTGGAGGGTACAGAGGAAGGACAGCATTGCCCTTACGAGCCGTGGGAAAATCCATGGGCTCTGGCCTGCAGCATGCCTGCCTGAGTCCCCCAGAGCTCACCCTGGCCCTTGAAGATGAAGCTCCTCCGGCCACGCTGCCAGGTCATGTGCTCAAAGCCCAGGAGACTGGTGTCCACCCGCAGGCTCTCACCCCGCTTCCACACGCGGTACACATCGCTGGGGCACATCTTGGACACGAGGGGCACTGCGGGGGGTGCACAGGTCACCGGGGTTCTTTCCCAAAGGCCCCACCCCACGCCTGAGGATGCTGAGTGGTCCCACTCACCCCAGCTGGTGAACTCCCACTTCATCTCCACGTAGAAGTCGGGGGCCTGCGATAGACCAGAGCGTCTGTCAGGGCCCTGCCTGGTGCTGGGGGCCAGAGGGCCTGGGGAGTTCCGCAGCCCCCCTTCTAGGAGCCCAACCCTTCAGGAAGTCTTCCACGGCCCAGCTACGCCCCCACCCCAACCAAACCCCACCCAGAAAAGGGTGGGCCAAGTGGGGCCCTAAAAAAACGTCTGCGAGTAATCAGGCTATAAGCATCTGGAGGCCTGGGGGCCAGTCTCAACCTAGCCACTAGCCCACTGGAGGGCCCTGGGGGAGCTTATGCCCCTCTTGGTCCCAGAGTCCTCATCTGTAAAGAGGACACAATGAGCCCCTCTGGGCCTGCCCCTGGGGTGGGGGGCATGAGGTAGGTAGTGTGCTCTCCCAGCCGGGCCCCCCTGCATGCTCTGAGAAGGGTGGATGGGTATTCCAGAGGCCCAGGCCACATACGCTGAGTGGAGTGAAATTCTCCCTCCAGCACGCCCCTGATCTAACCTCTGTTGAGATGTCTGGCATCAGGGGACCCTCAATGCTGGCAAAGGATTTCCTCCCACAGGGCCCACTTTCCCCCATGTGGGCCTGGACCCTCTCCTTCCTACATGACCCTTCATTGGGGTCAACAGAGAGGGACCTCGCTGACAGTGTCAGGAAAGCATGCTGCACAGGCTGGGTGCCCTTCCCAGGCCAGGCCTGGCATTGGTGGCCAGGGTGATCCCCATGCAGACTGTTAAAGACCTCAGCCATGGCACCCACCCCCTCTTACTGGCCACACCTCTGTGCCCTGCTGTACCTGGCGGAGTTTGTTGAGCAATTCTGGAATGCCTGCCAGTCTCTGTGTGGCCCTCTGGTAATCCCGATACTGGAGAACCAGCTGCACCATCTCGGGGTCCCCAGTGCTGACTGCTTCCTGCAGAACTGGGGGTGCCAGGCTGCTGAGGGGAGCTCTCTTGATGGCCCCAGGCCTGGCCATCACTCCCACCCACCAACCCTGCTGTCAGCCTCAAGGGAGCCCCTCTGCCCTCTGTGGTACCTGCCCAGCCCTGGCAGCTCTCTTTGCCCACGTTGGCATTGTGTCGAAGGAGGACTCTCACAGACTCCAGGTTCCCCAGGGACACTGCCAGCTCCAGAGGGGTACGCCCCCGGGGGTCCTCCTGTTCAATGTCGTGCTGGTGGAGAGGGGACACTTAGCACAAGGCAAGTAAGGAGATGCCAGGGCAAGAATGCCACTGGGCTGAACAAGGTTGGGAATCACTGCAGGAAATAAGGATGGCAGACAGGCGGTGGAATGGCAGAGGATGGCCTGTGTGTCCTGGCAGCGGAGGGGAGGGAGCAGGTGGGAAGGGCCTGCCCACCTCTCCTGCCCTCTGTCAGGGGCAGAGCTGGGGGGGTCCGGTGGTAGGGCCTGGTCAGGCAGAGGTGTAGCCGCGGATATCAAGACTTTGGACCGGCGTGGGGACCAGGACCGGGCTGCTTGTTCTCAGCCTGGCCCAGGAGTGGTGCGGCGCGAGTTCGGGGGCTGGATGCTGAGTGAAGTGGGGAGACGGGCAGGGCAAGGCTCAGCCCTGGGAGCCGAGGCCAGAGGCTCAAACGCGAGGTGCAGGTGCCCTGGGCTTCGGATCGGGCCGGGGAGGGGGCGCGGGGAAGCGGCTACGGAGCCGAACAGGGGCGGGCGGCCTCCAGGATGGAGATCACAGCTTTGGGTGGGGGGCCCGGAGGAAGGCCCGGGTGCCCGGTGGGCCTCACCTGGCGGCTGTGCAGCGCGGCCTCCAGTTCGCGGTGCCGGTTAGCCCAGACGAGCCGGTGCAGCGGGAAGGTGGGGCCAGGGCCGGCCATACTGGGCCTC